CCGATGACAAAGTGGCTGAGCACCTTCCAAATTTCCATGGCAGGCTAGTTTCAAGTAATTGGACCTACTTCATCCCCGCTCCATGCAAGGCCAGTGAGGAAAATGTGAGGGAATTTTATGCGAAGTTAAAGCGTACACATTTCCAAAACCATGAACTTACAATAAGGGGAAAGATTGTGAACTTTGGAGTTGAAGAGATAAATGATGTCTATGGGCTTCAAAATCATCCGCTCGAGCCAATACAAGAAAGAGATACATATGAAAATGGTTATTGGCTAGTCTCAAAACTTCTCCTGCTGGTCAAACATTGACTTGGGCTAAAAATAAACAAGGCATCAAATGTGGTGATTTCACAGCTGAAGCAAAAATATGATTGTATATCATTGCGAGCAGAGTGTCTCCTTGTGGGAACGTGTCTGATGTTATGTATACTAGGGCCCTGATGATTTCTTTCATCCTTGATGGCATTCCAATGAATGTCAGTTACTACATCATTCAGGAGCTGAAGGAATATGTGCTTCAAGGTGGCTCTACATTGATATTTCTATTATTGAATACAGAGTTGTGTCGGCGTGAGCAGGTTGAGGAATATGATGGAGATCATTGAATACCGGTGGAAAAACCCTTTCACCCATTGAGAGTGACAGGAGAAGTCAATTTATTAAAGAGCAAGAAGAGGAAGATGGCGATTGTTGTAGGTGAGGGGTCCTCCTCACAAGCTACTCACGGTGAGGGACCATTTGGGATGTTGAATTCCTAGCTTGCCTCTATTCATGACTTAGTGTCACAACTCTCTAGTGGGACTTCACACTCCTAGCCTAGGCCTGGTTATTATACTAAAGAAGAAATGAAGATATACCCGAAGGCCCAGAAAAAGCAGGCAGAGTCTCATAAGAAGTTGGCAGCTTCAGTTGGTAGGCTCGAGGCAACCTATAGCAATATGACCAAGGTACATGTAGATCTTCAGGTGGACTTCCAAAATGAGAAAGAGAGAAACAAGAAGAAGGGCAATTTCATGGTAAATATATGGAGAGGCATCAAGGCCATGTTCAAATGGGAACAATCGAACATGAAGATAACGTTCAAGGACAAAGATGATAGTGAAGAGTATTCCTTCTTGTCGAATGTTGCTTATGTCGATACTGATGATACCGATGATGATAAGGCCGAGAATCTACACGGCAGTGATGAGCCGTTTCCTGCAGTCTGCTAGTCTGATGCAGACCTCAGGGAGACCCTCAAACTACTCTTATTTTATTCTAATATTGTGCAGTGGGGACACCAGAGTATTTTTAGTTAGGGGTGTCTTTAGGGAGTATACTTTATTTGTACATTGATGCTTAACTTGTGCCCTTGTCGGGCTCATACTTTTGTATGGATATTGTGTGCCCTTGCCGGGCTTGTTTTACTATTATTTATCATGTGCTCTTGCCGGGCGTAGTTTGTGATTGGTGAGATATTTGCGGATTAGTCGCTTTTGTTATTCTATTTTATTTTTATTTATTTATTTATTTTCTTTAGTAGTTTTAGTTTATGTTATTTTTATTCCTTTAGTATTAGTTGCTTTTGTTATTTTATTTTCTTTAGTAGTTTTTAGTTTATATTATTTTTATCTCTTTAGTAGTAATATACTTTTCAATAAATTTTTTGGGGTTATATTTATGCTATGATTCTTTCACGAGAAAATTTTTGTGTTGAACTAGTTGATTTTTCCCTATGATGGATGGCGTGATAATTTTTTTGAGGGAATTAGTCTTGTTTTGTTATGTGGAGTCTTTTGGATTATTTGGTACTACTAAAATTAGACTCTTGTATGTGAAGTGTGAATTAAGAACACCCCTCCTAGTTTTTGTTGTAAATTTAAAAAGTAAGTTGCATGGGGGAGAATAATTTTGTGATAACTTTTTAGCTTATTTTGTGACTCTTTGCCCACTAGTTGACATGATATTGCTCTAATTGTTCTTATTAAGAAGTGAAATTGATCCATCTTGATTAGTTCATGTGTCATGTGTGTTAGTTTTTATTAAAAATAATTCTTGTGTTTACTTTAAAGAAAACCTCTTTAGCCTTTCGAGTCTACCATTTCATAAATATTATCACTAATTAACTCCATTTGAGTCTTTAACCTTTATTTGGCTACTACATTATAAACATTTACCCTTTTATGAAATAATTCCCTCTTTTGAACATATCCCTCATTGAATTCCAAGAATGAGGCTAGAAGCCTAAGTTGGGGGTATTAGTATTAATTGAGAAACAATGAAGATGTACATTGTGTGTAAAAGCATATACCTCAAAGTTGTTTATATGAAATACTCAAGCTCCAAAAGAAAAGAAAAAGAAAAATATATGTATAAAAAATGGAGTTTTGAGAAAATTAGATAGGTACTTTAAGGTGGTTTCATATTGGTAACTACAGGTCAATAAGGAATATGTGGTTTAAAAAGAAGCAAAAGTACAAAAAGAAAGACAAACGTGAGTAGTGTTCAAGGAGGGTGTAGTTACTAGCATCCCAAATTCTTATTCGACTCTTCCCTAATCCTTCATTACAAGCTTAAAAAGTCCTTATGGGATCTCTAACCGAATGTTCTTAAATTAGCGGCGAATTAAAATAAGGGCAAGCTTATGGCGTGATGTTTGTAACCCTTTAAATTCTTTGTTGAGAATGGGTGTCTGTATTTGTCTCTTGTGTTGTTATTGGTAATATGGTGATTTTTGGATTTTCTTTCTTGTGAGGGCACATGGATTATGATGGATTGGCGATATTGATAGATTCTGAATTGTGTAAATTGAGCATATGTAGTAGACTAGTACTTTTGAGTCACTTCTTGAGGCTTGGTTGTTGTCACTTGATTATTTTGAAACTCCATTGCATTCTTGAGGTTGTTTTTAAATGAGGAAGTTACTTAGTTGAAGTCGCATGTTTGAGCCTAATTTATAGTACCACCAAAGCCATAAGTAAGTATGGTGCTTAATTGGTGAATGTGATTTGGGAATGATAGCGATGCTACTTGTGCTTTAAATGGTAAACCTCATTGAATATTTAGTTTTGATTTGCTTGAGGATAAGAAAAACCTTTAAGTTGGGGGTGTTGATGAGTGATGATTTCACCATTTATTTTAGCCTCTTTTCTTTACTTTTTGTGTACTTTAATTATAAATGAGGTGATTTATGGTGTGCATTACTAGATTTTCATGTACAATGAGTCTTGAAGAGAATTGAAATCAAATGAAGTGGAATTAAGCAAAATAGAATTGAAACAGTGCAAAATCCTTCAATAATTTCGCATCTGCGAAACACTATTTGCATCTGCACGCTCGCATCTACGAGTAGAAGGCCGCATCTGCAGAAATGCCAATCTTCCGCTACGATCGCATCTGCAGTTGGTCATCCGCATCTGTGGAGGTTCTTCTGCACAAAAGGCCCGCACCTACGTGTGCACTTTTGTGCCTCATGGTCCGCTTCTACGGAAATCTGATTGTCTATTTGCCATCGCATATGCATTCAGAATTCCGCATCTGCGGAGCCGCACCTGCAATGATCCTTCTGTAGGTGCGGCCAACGGGCTTCAGACCTAGACAACTTAGGCATTTAACATTTTTTGCATTCTAAAACCATAAATACACGACCTAGTTTATTGGAAATACTTCTTTGGCTTATTTTTTAGTCTCTTGACTAGATAACACAAGTTTTGGAGCTAGGGTTCTTGCACACACACTTGGGTCTTAAAGATTTGAAGCTTTTGGTTGAGAATTTCTTACCCATTTTTACCCATCTCTTCATTTTCTTGCTTTGTATTGTATATCTAAGTGTGTAGTATTTTTTCCGAAACTTGAATCTTGTTTATGGGAATATTCATATTTTAAACTGTGGATTAAATATCTTGTTGTGCTTATGTATTGAATAATTTTTATTTATTATGGAGTGAGTTATTATTTCTTTAATTATTCTTGTTCTTTAATGTTTCCAAAGGGATTAGCTAACCCTAGGACTCTCCCATTAACCTCGAACTAATTTTGGAAAAGATCATTTGGGGTTGGGAAAGATTAATTTACAATAACTTGAGGCGTTAACCCTCAGTTTATAAATGCTACCTAGGGATAGGATTGAACTACTTGTAGCCATAATCGGGTGCTCTTAATCTCTTATATGTTTTAGGGGTAATTCAATTAGGAAGTTTGGTTAGTCTTCAGAAGAAGCTAAAATAGAATTAATATCTGAATCTTATTAATATAAACTCACTCATATTTATAAAATCGTGAAATACATTGGAGCGTTACTTGAGTGTAATTACCATTACATCCATGCTTGTAGCCATTAATAATTTTACTCGCTTTCTAGGTTAGTTTACATTTTCTCATTTAGATATAAATATTATCTCAAAACCCTTTTAAGTGTTTGTCTTAGCATAATAAGCGACAATTCTCTTACATTGCCTAATCACCTACATATTGTTCTCTGTGGGATTCGACCCCGACTCATAGTTGGGTATATTACATTGCATGTGACCGTGTCCTCTTACTTTTTAGTAGTGAATTTGGACGTCATCAAAGTTATCCCCAAGGGACGTTACCTGCATACACACATGTTAATCCGAAAGAGCAGGGTCTGAAGCAGCTGATGGTAGTGAGTCTGAGAAATCGCTCGCGAAAGTCGACCAACTGAGATACTCATGCCAGTACCAATTGAGGTAGATGATTCAACTGAGCTAACAGAAGTAAGAGTGCAGCCACCACAAGAGAACTAAGCAAAGGGAAAGAGGTTTCAAAGGAGACTGAGAAAGTGCAAGAGAAGGCATTAGAAAAAGTGCCTGAGCAGGATCTAACTCATGTCACAGGAAAGAAGTGACCTCCAGCACCCTTCCCGAAAAGAATGGGCAAATATCAGAGGGATGATTAATATAAGAAATTCATGGAGATGTTGAAGCAGATCTAGGTGAACATTCCATTAATTGATGCCTTGAAGAAGATGCTCAGTTGTGCAAAAATGATGAGGACTCGATGTCTCGTAAGTTCGACTTTCAAGACTTGGCAACGGTGACACTGACTCAGACATGTAGTGATGTCATGACAAGACTTATAGCTGAGAAGCTATTCGACCCAGGGAGTTTCACAATTCTGTGCACAATAGGCAGCTATGCTTTTGATAAAGCATTGTGTGACTTAGGGGCGAGCATAAACTTGATGCCCTTGTCTATGTATAAAAGGTTAGGCATTGGAAGGGCAAGACCTACATCCATGTTACTACAACTAGCCGACCGATCGATGGAGAGACCATTAGGTATACTTGATGAAATACTTGTGCAGGTTGGAAAGTTAGTGTTTCTTGCATATTTTGTCATTCTGGACTGCCAGGTTGATGGAGAAATTCCCATAATTTTGAAGGCCATTCATGGCCATAAGGAGATCTCTAATTGATTATGAAACTAGGGAGATAAATATGAGATTAAACGATAAAAAAATAACATTCAATGTGCAGAAGTCTATGCAGAAACCCAGTGAGTTTGCTAATTGCTCTCTGATTGAAACTGTGGCTGTGATGCAGGAGGAAGAAGATGAGGAACTGAATGAAAAAGATCCTCTAGCAGCATGCCTCATAAACTTAGAAGAGGTAGATGATGAGGACTTGGCAGAGAGGGTTTTGGCCCTTGAAGGCCAAGGGTACTGGAAAAGAGAGCTCAAATTCGAGCCTTTACAATTAGAAGAAAGAAAGACCCCTCCAGCTAAGCCACCAATTTAAGAGTCGTCACAATTGTAGCTAAAACTGTTACCCTTTCACCTAAGGTATGCTTTCTTGGGATATAGATCAACATTACATTTTGTTATCTCATCTAGTTTGTTAGATGTGCAGGTAGAACAACTTTTGCGGGTTTTGAAGGAGTGCAAGACTGCAATTGGGTGGACCATTACAGATATAAAAGGTATCAGTCCAACATTTTGTATGCATAAGATTCTACTGGAAGATGGGCACAAAAATTCCAGAGAACATTAAAGAAGGCAGAACCCCAACATGAAATAAGTGGTGAAGAAAGAAGTGATCAAGTGGTTAGATGCGGGAATCATCTTCCCCATCTCTGAAAACAACTGGGTCAGCCGAGTTCAGTGTGTGCCAAAGAAGAGTGGAATGACTGTAGTGCAAAGCGAGAATAACGAGTTGATCTCAATAAGAACAGTCACGAAATGGAAAATCTATATGGATTACAGAAGATTGAACAAGGCCACCCAAAAAGACCATTTTTCGCTGCCATTCATTGATCAGATGTAAGATAGATTGGCGGGGAGGTCCCACTTTTGCTTCCTAGATGGATACTCGAGGTATAACCAGATCTCTATTGCCTTTGAGGATAGAGAGAAAATGTCATTCACCTGTCCTTATGGCATCTATGCCTTTCGGAGAATGCCATTTGGCTTATGCAATGCACCCGCTATATTCCAGAGGTGCATGATGGACATCTTCACAGATATGGTAGAGAACATAATGGAGGTTTTCATGGATGATTTCTCGGTGGTGGGGAACTCATTCGATGACTACCTTATGAATTTGAAAAGAGTTTTAAAGAGGTGTATAGAGACTAATCTGATATTGAACCGGGAAAAGTGTCATTTCATGATATAGGAAGGTATAGTCTTGGGACACCTAGTGTCAAGTAAGGGCATCGATGTAATTGAGAAGTTGCCTCCACCCACTTTCATCAAGGTCATAAGAAGTTTCCTCGGTTACGCCAACTTCTACAGGCGATTTATAAAAGCTTTTTTTAAAATCGCTAACCCTTTGTTTAAATTACTTGACAAAGATTATCGCTTTGTGTTTTTTGGTGACTGCAGGGTAGCTTTTGAGGAATTGATGAAGAGGCTGGTAAATGCACCAATCATAATGGCACCTGACTGGGAATAACCTTTTGAGCTTATGTGCGATGCAAGCGACTATGTTTATGGGAACAGTTCTTGTGAAGAGAAAAGATAAAGTCATGCATCCAATCTACTATGCAAGAATAACCTTGAGTGGTGACCAATTGAATTACATAATGACCGAGAAGGAGATGCTAGTAGTGGTTTTTGCATTTGACAAATTTAGGTCATACCTGATAGGCTCGAATGTAATTGTTTATACTGACCATGTTGATCTCAAGTACCTAATTGAGAAGAAGGAGTCAAATCCACTTCTGATTCGATGGGTTCTACTATTGCAAGAATTCGACTTAGAGATCCGTGACCGAAAGGGAACGGAAAGCCAAGTTGCCGATCATTTGTCCAGGCTTGAAGGAGCTGAAAAGAATGTTGAGGTCAAAGAGATCATGGAGACATTCCTAGATGAACAACTGTTAGCCACAAGACTTGAGGTAGCGCCATGGTATGCAGATATTGTAAACTACCTAGAGAGTGGTATTGTTCCCTATGACTTGTTCTCTATGCAAAAGAAAAAGTTTTATCGTGATTGTCACATGTATTTATGGGATGAACAATATTTGTTTAGGATCTGTATTGATAACATGATTCAGAGATGCATCCCTAAGATAGACCAAGCGTATATTTTGCATGTATATCATGCTTCGCCTTATGGAGGCCATTTTGGAGGAGTAAGGATAGTGGCAAAAGTGTTAGAGTTGGGATTTTATTGTCTGATATTATTTAAAGATGCACACTTGTGGGTAAAGTGCTGTGATGAGTGCCAACAGACAGAGAACATTTCCCGTGGACATGAGATGCACATGAACCCAATTCAAGAGGTAAAAGTATTTGATGTATTAGGAATCGACTTTATGGGACCATTTGTCAGCTCATATGGTAACAAGTACATATTGGTAGTTGTGGACTATGCATCGAAATGGGTAAAAGCCATGGCACTCCCAACAAATGATGCAAAGGGAGTCATTGGTATTCTAAGAAAAAATATCTTCACCCAATTTGGCACTCCAAGAGCGATCATCAGTGTTGGAGCCACCTACTTCTGCAATCGAGCCTTTGCAAAGTTGTTGGAGAAATATGGCATTTGCCATAAGGTTGCTACTCCATATCACCCACAAACAAGTGGGCAAGTAGAGGTGTCGGATAGAGAAATCAAGAGTGTTTTGACCAAGACTGTAAATGCTACTCTGACTGATTGGGTGAGAAAATTGTATGATGCACTATGGGTCTACTGAACTGCATTCAAAACTCTGATGCTTTTTTGGGCGTTAAGGAAATTAAACATTAACACAGAGGCCGTTGGTACAAGTAGAGTTACAGAGCTGCATGAACTTTATGAGCTCTGTTACCATGCTTTTGAGAGCACTAGGTTGTACAAAGAAAGGATGAAGATGATGCAAGATAAGCATACTCAAGAGAGAATTTTCAAACACGGAGATGTCATGTTGTATAATTTAAGATTGAAAATATTTCCGGGTAAGCAGAAATCTATATGGTCGAGACCATTTAGAGTTGTGCAAGTGTTCTCAAGTGGAGCTATAGAAATTAAATCCGAGGATGAAACGAACAAGTTTAGAGTCAATGGAAAAAGGTTGAAACATTACCTTGGCATGGATGAAGAAAAAGTTGTATCGGTGATTCATTTGAAGGAGCCTCAAGTGTTGAGTAAATCTTGAGTTCGATTGATTGCGTCGTGTCGCGACGTTAAATTAGGCGCTTCATGGGAGGCAACCCATTGTAATGTTGTATTCGTCATGTCGTGACATTAACTAAGGCGCTTGTTGGGAGGCAGCCCAATTCGTAGTTTATTTTAGCTTAATCAGACTTGTATTTTTGTTTTAAGTACTAACAAGTCATTGGTTAAGTCATGGTGTTTGAACAGGCATCGGAGAATGTTGGGAGGTCAATAATACATGAACAAGTCCATAAAACGGATCGAAAATCACTTGAGCACGCTCCAAACCTCACTAAACGAGGCAAGGACCACACTCCGGGCCAGTAGTGTCAAGCTTCCACGCGAGTTGTATCTCGCGATTTGGCTAGTATCACTCAAGATGTAGCACGACATCCTCGCGCTGGGCCTATCGCTACCTGGTCTGTAGCGCGCACTACCTAGATCCCAGGATCGCGTCGCCTGATCTCCAACCCGCTATATCCCTCGTGTAGCCCGGTCTAAACAGAGATCCACCTCGCGGCGTAGGGTAGGTTTTTTTTCCTTCTCTTCTTCTTCTTTAAGTCCCTTTAAAACAACAACACACACACGCACACGCAAAACACACTCACGCTCTAAACACAAAACACCTGCCTAGCCCTCTCCTCAAACATCACTGTCCTAAAAGCCTAAACATATACACATGCTCTCTACCCCACTACCAAACCCTCCTCTCCCTATCTCACTCACAAGAACTCCATTAAATCCATCCTTTCATCCACTCATTCATGTACTAACTGTGAGCACATAATTTTTGCCCTAAATATGATTATTCCCAAAATCCCAGATAAAATAATTTTCCTTTATTTTTACAATTTTTGTGCATTTTGGTGTCATTTTCTGATAATTGTTGCATTCTATTTGCGCATGTTAATTCTATAAAATACAAAATATGCATTGTCGCGTTTAGGTTTTAGTATCAATTAAGGGTTAATTTGTTTTAAAACAAAACATGAAAATCACAAAAATTAGTCACTTTCGCATTTTAATGATTTTTACTATGAATTTGTCATGAAATAGTTTTTAAACAATTGTAGGCATTAGTCAGTTTAGTTTTGAAGTATATTAGGATTTTATTTTAATTGTTGCAATTCTATAAAATCAGAAAAAATAATTACAAAATTACAAAGTGGAAAATAAATGGATAAAATGAAATAAAAAAAAAGAAGGAAAACAAATGAGAAGCAAAGGGCTGGCCAAGTTTGGGCCAAATCAAAAGAATTGTTCAGGCCCAAACACCTCAACTCGCTGCAAACCAGTCCAGCCCAAATCCTTACCCGGTCCGCCCCCTCTTCTAAACGAAACGGTGCCGTTTCGTGGTCTCTGAATCAGGACCGCTGGATCCAATCAATCCAACGGTCCGGAACTAAAGAGGTTCCTGATTTAAAAAGGTCTGAAAGGCCACCCCAGACCCTCGTCTTCCTCACCCCACCCCTCCTCTCAAACCCTAATCCGCGCCGCCCCTAAATCCCTCGCCGGCGGTGAACACAACCTACGCCGTTCACCCCCAGATTAACACCACAGATCCCCTATGAACCCCTCTTTCCACTCCCGTTATTAGTTTTCCTCGAATGTTGTCGGAGCTCGTCGAATCTTAGTTTGAAGCTTTCCGGTCAAGTGGCAAGTTCATCCAAACCAGCCCAAAATCACACCACACAATCCCTGGCCCTCCCTCAACACCAATCCATGTTTACTTTCCTTCAAATCACTGTGAAACGGCTCAAATCTTAGATCTGAGAATTTCTGGCCAAAACCCTAAACCAAATCTTTATGATNCAGTCCAGCCCAAATCCTTACCCGGTCCGCCCCCTCTTCTAAACGAAACGGTGCCGTTTCGTGGTCTCTGAATCAGGACCGCTGGATCCAATCAATCCAACGGTCCGGAACTAAAGAGGTTCCTGATTTAAAAAGGTCTGAAAGGCCACCCCAGACCCTCGTCTTCCTCACCCCACCCCTCCTCTCAAACCCTAATCCGCGCCGCCCCTAAAT